TAATTTTCATAACATTAAGAAGCATATGTTTCATGCATTACTAATTTATTTAGTATATTCTGTATGTTTTGTTAAAACTTCTGCATATCAATAAGGTCATTCAATCTAGTTTTTGTTATCTTGTTAATTGTCACAAATTTAGAAATTCCTGTTGAATTGTATTGTAGTGATCATGTTTTAAACATGATTAGGTGAACTGAAGTCTAATATAATTCCTAGTATAGAAAAGTTAACAAACAAAAGTTTGAATTTAGTATACATGAAATGTTCTTGATTCATTGGCATAAGACTGTTTCTCTTTCAGTTTTATATTTGTTCTCAATTATATTTAATCATTAATTAATGCTATGTTTTAACTGATTTTTTTTTATAAACTAAGATGAATTAACAAAAGGAATATTATTAATTAATGTAATAATCTTTGACTGATGATAAATTAAAGTTATCTTTAAAACAATACATAAATGTAATTCATCTTTAAAAAAATGAATTGTATTTATTAATCAAATTAATAAATACAATATGTTGCTTTATTCAAATATGTTGAAATTAATATTTACTTCCTTAAATTTTGATTTGTAGTTTTTTTACAAACATTTCTCCCTTAAGCNCTTAATATTAAATATAGATTGAGATAAAATTAGCAAAATAATATGGCTTAATAATGTTATACAGTATGTCCCATTTCAATTAGTCAGCCAAAATGTCTCGAAAAATAGGCATCCTATGAAAAAATGTTCCAGACTGAAAATGTTCTGCATGAAGGGAATACAAGAAGAAACTATGATTTCATCACAGCTGGTGCTACAATCAGTGAAAATGGGGTCAGTTTCCTTTTTTGAACAAACACTCAGTTTTTTTTTGTTTCATTGTTAATTTCCTCATGTGCATTTGAAAAGACTAAGTGAAAAGACATATCTTGTATATCTACTTAAGAATTTAAAAAAAAATTGTTTGTAAAAAAATCAAATATAAGCAATAATATAAAAGCAAACTTTGTTAATAGTTTAGTTAAATCATTTTCTTTTGCTACTGTTGTTTATTTCCTTAGCATGCATTGCTTTATACATGGAAGTGAGATTGAGAATCTGAAAAGCTACAATACAAAAATAATTCAACAATACATAGATAAAATTACAAACATAACTTGTATATTATTGTTTCCATTTGTTTCTGAAAATCTTACGATGGACTAACATATTAAGATAATGAACTAATAATGCTTTATATCTCAAAGTAGTAAGGAAATTAAATTGATATGAATATGAAGAAAATTTTTAAAATTATATTGGAAAAATATTTAATCTGTATGATATATATCATGCAGATTAAATATTTTATATACCAAAAAATTTAGACTAATTATGCTAGTTATTCAGAAACTAATTTAAAATTATAAGTTTTAAGGGTGAAACTATTAATTATAAAAGATTAACATTTTGCATTTATTGTTTTGAGCAAAATTGGATTTTTTGTTTATATTCAAATTTTATTTCCAAAGTTAACTAATATGTATTGAACTTTAAAATGATAATTAGATGAAATTTTTATTCAATATAAAAATTCTTTAACCATGCTGTATTGAATAAATTGAAAAGTTTATTTTGGAGATCATATATTTATAAATGACATATTTTTCTATTTATCATAACAGATGGCACCCCCACACAATTTTAAATTTTTTGCCAGTAAAATTATGCAACTTGTTGCTGGACTTTTAATATCAGAAATCTATAGCTAGGGAATAAAATTTTTAGAATAAATGTTTTTAATAAGCTGAAAAGTTGCAACATTGACATAAAAATAGCTGTAAATTTTCATTAAGAGTAGCTTGGTGAGAAGTTACAGGATTTGGCAACACTATCTTGTGTGTATTCAAAACTATCCATAATTGTTGAAAATAGTAATGCTCGTAGGTTAGTTGGAGCTAGTGTCTTCAACATCTTAAATGGATATTTTTGATATAGTCTGCTGAGAATGGCAGGCGTTTGAAATTTTAAAATTTTACAAAATGACTTTGAAGTTTGTTTGTTATAAAATGTATTAAACCCTTTATGTTTATACACTATTTGTCAGGGATTGTCAGTTCAATGTAGGGAGAAGTTTGTTAAAGGAAGAATTTGGAATTAGTGAATTCCCTCAAATAGCCATGACTATTGTTTGATGATTTCTAAAAGCTTAGGGAAACAATATAAAATTAATAAATACCATAAAGTACAGTATGTAGGTACCTTATTTATTTAACAAACTTTTACAGAAAATGTAATATGTAGAATTTACAATATACAGTAAGTGTATATTTTAATTATTTTCTTATTAGTGGTAAATAGAAAATTAGTATCTTTTTTTCGTAATAAGTATTACTACCATTTCAAGTATAATTTGTGTTAAAATCAAACTTTTTACAAATAAATATTTGAATATAACCCAATTTGATTATTAATTGGGATCTAAGAAGGCTAATTTAATGATTACATATAAAGCAATTTGGTTATAGGTAAGTGGTTAGGTTGCTATCTAATAATAAATTTAATAGTTATAAATAATTTTTAATTATTGCAGATGTGTTGTCAATTATGATACCTGAACCTCCATTTCATCTTTGCTTCCAGAGTAATTTAATTAATGTAATTGGTAGCACACATGCATAGTAAACAGGAGTTGCAGGCTTAAGTCCTGCTCTAGTCAGATCTTTTCTTCCAGAATATTCTAAATTTAAAATTAAACATTCTTTATAATTAAATTTATTAGATAGCAGTCTTACTACTAACATATAGACAAATTAGCCAATAAACTCCCAACAACCTTTAAATATAACCAGTAAAATATTTTAAAATACTACAAACGTTTTTGACCGTTATTTCCGGTCTTCTTCAGGTTAAAAGGTTCTGAGATTCGAATAGCAGTTGTGCTTGAAGATTTAAACTTTTTTAGACGTATGAACAGCGCACTGCGCATGCGCACTAAATACAGCGTATACAAATGAAAGAATATTTCATTTGTATATGCTGTATTTAGTGTGCTGTTCATATGTTCTAAAAAAGTTTAAATCTTCGAGCACAACTGCTATTCGAATCTCAGAACTTTTAACCTGAAGAAGAATGGAAATAATGGTCGAAAACGTTTGTAGTATTTTAAAATATTTTACTGGTTATTTAAAGGTTGTTGGGAGTTCATTTTATATTTTACCAGTACTTATTAACAAGTGATGTGTTAACCTGTATACAAGACAAATTAGCCTTATTATAGCCTAGTTAAAAATCTGGAAGTTCATTTGGCTTAAATATTTAAATATATTATTAATAATGGACAATGTTCAAATGGGTATGTGAAAAATAAATAATTACTGTCCTTGGGTTGGAACAACAGAGAAAAATATGCATTTGTAAATAGTTGCTTTGACTATTATTTTTGAATAAAACCAGTATATTTAACAAAAATTTATTACAGTATGATAAAATAACACTTACTAAACAAAAAAATCAAATTTTATAAAAATTAGCCAGGACAAATTTAAGTTTACAAAAAAATTTTAAAGATTAGATGTAGATGAGTAGCCTCAAATAAAAAGGCTGATTCCACCATAGAATTGTTAATTTCCTCATGTGCATTTGAAAAGACTAAGTGAAAAGACATATCTTGTATATCTACTTAAGAATTTTAAAAAAAAAATTGTTTGTAAAAAAATCAAATATAAGCAATAATATAAAAGCAAACTTTGTTAATAGTTTAGTTAAATCATTTTCTGTTGCTACTGTTGTTTATTTCCTTAGCATGCATTGCTTTATACATGGAATCTGAAAAGCTACAATACAAAAATAATTCAACAATACATAGATAAAATTACAAACATAACTTGTATATTATTGTTTCCATTTGTTTCTGAAAATCTTATGATGGACTAACATATTAAGATAATGAACTAATAATGCTTTATATCTCAAAGTAGTAAGGAAATTAAATTGATATGAATATGAAGAAAATTTTTAAAATTATATTGGAAAAATATTTAATCTGTATGATATATATCATGCAGATTAAATATTTTATATACCAAAAAATTTAGACTAATTATGCTAGTTATTCAGAAACTAATTTAAAATTATAAGTTTTAAGGGTGAAACTATTAATTATAAAAGATTAACATTTTGCATTTATTGTTTTGAGCAAAATTGGATTTTTTGTTTATATTCAAATTTTATTTCCAAAGTTAACTAATATGTATTGAACTTTAAAATGATAATTAGATGAAATTTTTAAGTATACTCAAGAATTCTTTTAAATTTATGTAATTTATTTTATTATTAACTTTATTTCATTAGTAGAACTAATAATAGAATTCAAATGATGTAATTTCAATAAATATCATTAATTTATATATGATGGTGGTTTAATCTAAAAATAATGCTGCTTATACTTAGGTTTATTAAATAGTTTTGTTTTAATATGCTCAACTGTTTAGAAAGAACAGCTATAAATTTCAAAATTATAGCTTTAAATAATAATGAATTTACTGTTTCTAAAATGATAAAAAGTATTTCTGATACTAAGTTTTAGCAATTCAGTTTTCTGTTAACCGAAAAAATTATTTTAAATTATCTAAGTTAATGGATAAAAATTAGTTTTCCCTTGGCCATTGCAGTGATATTGTCCTTTGCATCAGAAGATATTGTTAGTTGTGATAGGTTCAACTGCAAAGGCTGACACTTAAAAATGTCATTGGAAAAGAGCATTAGAATGGCATTGAAGCATGCATGCCTCTTGCTTCTCATAAGTTTTTTGCATGTGTACTTGCTCTTGATTCTGATAAAAATAGATTTTTATTTTCTCTGGTGTTTAATTTAAAATATTTTTATATATCATTAAACTGGATGTTTCTTTTACTGTTAAAATCAAAATTTTAAGAAGTATTAATTGCATTAAATTTTTAAATGTTATAATTTGTTAATAATTATTATGCAATGCAATGCAAAATTAATTTTAGAATTATTCAAAAAGTTATATGATAGTTTTACATTAATACACCTTGAAAATAATGATGCAAACAAATTATTTGGAGAAATTAAGATAGATAGAAATTTGAGCAATGCTTAAATTTGGAGAATTTATTGAAAATAATTATAGCCATAATTCTCTCAAAGATATTAATGTAAACTAATCAAATATTTAAGCTTTTCACAAAATATGTACTCAATTTTTTCTTTATAAACAAAAATATGATTATTTGAGAATTTGTTTGTTAGAGGGAACTATGTGAAAAGGTAGCATTTCATGGAAATGTTAGAATTTTAACATAAAAGCAATACAGTAGTATCAAATTATTTCTATTATCATATCTATTAATTTTTAGAAAGTGACACTTGTAGCAAAAAAAAAAAAAAAACGTTTTTTAATTTAAGTTATAAGTATTATAATATGACAAAATGCTGTTGAAAGCATATTCATAGTGAATATGGAAGTAAAAGCAATTGAAAGTGACATTTTTTCACAATAACAGTTTTACATGCACACACATGCGCGCGCACAGTTTCAGTGAAATTTATGGGAATGTGGTACTGATTTTTGGGAAATTTTATATGAAAATAATTATATATATTATGGAATATTTTTTACCAGTGGTTTAATTTACACTTATAATGTTATTTGGGAATATGAAATATTTTGATTCTTATTGAGCAGTATGAAATTTGTTGATTTTTGAAGATAAGAATATAAATTGCCTTGAATTCAAAACAGTTAAAACTCTGCTAGCAAGTGATGTTACCAGTATATCAAAATCATTGCCAATTTGCAGCACAAAAGAAGGTATATTGTTAATTCTTTTATCTGTGTTTCTTATAAATTTATATAAATAATAATAATAATTTAATAATTTCAGTTAAAATTACTTTTAATTTAAAAAAATATTTTAAATTTTAAGGAAATATTTTTTGGCCTTGGTAGTTCTAATCATTGTGATTTTCTTAAAGTGCAGATTTTTCAGTCATGTAGGACATAAAAAATACTTAAGAATAACATAATTAAACAAGTATGGTTGGATGTCAGTATTGCAAACTTCTTTGTAAGAAATCTTTTTCTGCAAACTTTTGTAGAATATTGAAAAATGTATTATTACAAATTTATTAATGATGTGTTTTCCATTTAATGAATTTTCTGCATTTCTCTTAGGCATTGTATGATACAAGAGTTAGTTTGCTTTCAGTTTGAATTTGCCATGTTTTATCGTATTCATTTCAAGTATTATAAAAAGATGATGGATTAAGATGGATATATTTATTGAATGTACTAATGTTCTTCAAAATTCACTTAAATATTTCAGAAGATAGTTTCTGCCTCAGTCATTTTTATACGTGATCATATTAGTGTAATATGACCATGTTTGTGTTTGTAGTTATCATTGTTTAGTTTTTTTAAGGAAATTGTGAAATATTGATATATGGGATTTCAGTAGAATGTAAAAATTAAAATTTATTCTTTTGCGAAGAACATATTGTTTTATAATATGGAAATTTGAATGCTTAATTTAAAATAAAAAATAAATCATAGTCTAATTTTTGATAAACTTTAAACATGTGCATGGTATTCCTCCTCTGTGAGTAATTGAGAATAAACAACAAAATTTGAGTGAATTATCTTAGTACCTGTACTCTGAAATTATCATCAAAATAATAATAATAAAATTTGTATGTGAATTAACCTTAATCAGTTTTAATAGTATCTGTTTGTGAGACATTCTTAATATTAAATATAGATTGAGATAAAATTAGCAAAATAATATGGCTTAATAATGTTATACAGTATGTCCCATTTTAATTAGTCAGCCAAAATGTCTCGAAAAATAGGCATCCTATGAAAAAATGTTCCAGACTGAAAATGTTCTGCATGAAGGGAATACAAGAAGAAACTATGATTTTATCACAGCTGGTGCTACAATCAGTGAAAATGGGGTCAGTTTCCTTTTTTGAACAAACACTCAGTTTTTTTTTGTTTCATTCTGTGATTCTGTATCAAAAACTTATATTTAACTGCATCTTTCAAAGAAATATTTTACATATCAAAAGTTATAAGCACTTGAAACTTTCCCAACAACAACAACATGCACACTTAATTTGTGGATATCTGTGAAGTTTGTTGAAAAAGAAAAATGAAAAGAAAGAAAAATCATTAGGAAATACTTATTTGGTGGAATAAAGATCAACATCTTGTCTTTATCACAAACTTTAACATACTGTAACACTAGTTTTCATATCAGTTGATCATGTGGAAAAAGAATGATTACACCAGATAATAACAGTTTCATATTTTTCTTTTTTCAATGAACTTCATTGATGTCCATGATTCATGTATGCATCATATGGCAATTACATAAAACTTCAAATGCTCATGACTTTTGCTAACTGCATCTTTCAAAAAATTGCTTTAAATAAAAATTTCTTTCAGATACAGTATCATATGCAACAACAAAAAAATGGAGTTTTCATTTAAGAAAATGAAATTGGCCCTGTTTACACTGTAGTGCCGTTATCTATGATTAAATCAATAGTGTCTTTTTGTGCCTCCCTTGATGCAGAACATTTCTGGTCTATAACATTTATATATATATAATGCATATTTTTCAATATTTTGGTGACTAATTAAAATGGGACACCCTGTATATCTATCAATTATAAAATTATCTGACTGCAAGATTTACATAACAAAAAGATATATTACTAGTTAAAACTTTTAGTTAAAATCACAAATAGCTTTGATCTGATGTAAAATATTTTATTAAGTACATAATTTTTATAAGGCAAATGTATACAGGTGGCAAAATTAAAGCAACACTGAATGTCAATGCCTGGTATCACCAATCACTTCTTTTGCTTTGATAATTAAAATGGGTGATTGGTTAAACTTGTCATTAATATTCAATGTCACCTTATTTTTGCCATCTGTATGCATATGTCTTAAGGGTTGTTGGAAAGTAGTATCCATTTTAGAATTAAAAAAATAACCAATAAAAGTTTATGAAAAAGTTTATATTGTACTTTACATTCTACAGGCTATTTTTCCAGGTAATCACTCTGGAAATTTAGGCACTTATCACATGACAAGTTTTTGTATTTCCTTGTCCTACACCTTCCCTGCTAGACCATTCAGAAACCTTAGATACTGCATCCTACACTTATTCCTCACTCGCAAAGCTTTTTTTTTTTCCAATAAGTTGTTAAATTTTATGAAACAGTAAAAATCACTATGAGTCATGTCAAGTTGTAGGTTAAATGGTCCAAAACTTTCCACTTGAAACTTCCATGGAACATCAGTGTTTATGGCTCCTTGGGTATGAACTGAACAAAGAGTAACTTTTTTGGTCCATGCCTCGAGATCCTGACAAAACCTCATGCCTCAGAGTTATGATAAACAGTGATGCATATTGTGGTAAATTAAAGCAATTGTAGTGGCTATTCAGAATTGCAGGAGAGGTTTATTGTCTAATGTTGACATCCTCCACAACAAATGTGCAACCACATATTGCTGAAAAAATAGAATAACTCTGTGGAAGTTTCATGCTGAAAGTTTTGGACCATCTATCCTACAGCCTATCCTGGTCCCTAGTGACTTTCACTTTTTCATGAAACTGAATGACTTTCTGGAAGGAAATGCTTTGCAAGTGAGGAATAGTGCAGGAAGCAGTCACTAAGTTTCTGAATGGACTAGTGGGGGAGATATAGTACATGAAGAGGAAATATAAAAACTTGTCATGTGGTACAATAAATACCTAAATGTCCAGGGTTATCTGGAAAAATAGCCTATGATATGTAGATGTAAAATATATAAAAAATTAACTAATAAAGATTTATGAATAATTTTTTTTAATTTTAAAATGGATATTACTTTCCAAACAACCTTCATACATATTCCTTATTTTAAAATAACTTTTGCTTGTTTTTAGTAAGTGGAACAACTGATGGTTCATCAACACAGTTAACGTCTAATGTTACAGAAGATATGCTAAATACTGCATCACCTACTGTCCACTCAGTTGCAAGTTCCAGCCAGGAAACAAACAAATTTGAGGTACACAAATATATTCTAATTTTTGCATGTTCGTGTAAAAATTAAAATGCAAATTATTTTTTTCAGAATTTAAATAGTCCAGGAAGTCAGACTGAAGCAGCAGCAGCCGCAAGTCCCACCAACACAACCACCGAAGAAATTGGACAAGAATCGGCCAACCAAACAAATGGTACAGAGCCAAAAGAACAGAAAAAGAAGAACAGGTGCAATGTCTGCCGCAAGAAAGTTGGATTGACAGGTAACTGGCAATTTAAAATTGATTAGTTCGTATGCATAATGGATTTATTCAATTGATTCTAAGATAATAGAATACACAGTATAAATTATTACATATTGTTAATCAATAAAATGTTAACTGCCATCCAACCACCGGCGGTCATAGTAATTAGGGCTGCTCAGAGCCATCCGACACACATACAGCAGTTGGATGGCAGTTAACGTGTTAAAACATGTGTTTTATATAAATGATTTGGGTAACTAAAATTTTTCTCTAAAAAAAGTAATGGCCGTCTAACAATCAAACCTTCATCATTGTAAATTAGCAAATACCAAGTTTTATCATATTCCTGCATAATAATTTTCATTGAGTTAGATAACTGTATTCAGATAAGCTAAGTCAGTATGTCTTTTTGGACTAGCAACATGCTTTGAATTTAATATGATTCCTGCAACACACCACAATTTTTTAAATAAAAATGTATAAAATTATGGTCGAATTTAAAAATTTTGATATGGAAATTAAACTTAACAAGACACAAACTCAATTTTACAAATATAAAAATATTTTATTTGAGTCAATGCATAAAAAAAACTAGTATTGGTCTTTAAGCTGGTAAGCTGCAATGTTTGTATAAGCTTCAAAGAGTTGATACACCCCAGTATATGTATAGACACATGCAACTGTTGTGAAGAGAGGATATGCTGATGATGCAAATTTTGCAATAATTGGCAGTTTAGTGACTCTCCTCCTTCAATTTGCTGGTGATGAAAAGATGAAAGATAAATGAAATTTTAAAAAAAGATTGTATTCAGTATTCTAAAAAGTATTTAATATTTCCACAAAACACCTGAGACACTCTCATGACACAAGTATGTCGTGGCATACTGGTTGGCAAACGCTGAGCTGATAGAGATCAGATAAGGGGCAATTTCTTTGTCACCTTAATCTCTGAAGATAGCTCTTATCACATTTAAGAAAGCTTATTTTCTATTTGTTGAAGTCTATATAACAAAATGATTTCAAAATTTATATTCAGATAGCAATTTCTGAAATTGATCATTGAAGAATTTTTTCAGTTAAATATGCTTGGTTTAAAATGGTTTATGTATTATGTTGTTTGCATTTGTGGGAAAATTTTATTGCTCTTTACAATGATATTGGTTTCATTTCTATATTCTATAACTTATATAATTATCTTTTAAAGATGCACTAGTTCTAATAAAACATTGAAGTATGTTTTGTAAAATAAGAATTCTTACAGAAAAAATTTTGTTTAACTATTATAAAGTTAAAAAATATTTGCAATGTCCTGAATTTTAAATGAATTATGGATTGAAAATTTTAGGAAAAACAAATGTTAAAATATCATTTTCTGGTTATTTTTAATATACTTAAATTTTGGCTATAAATCTGAAGCACAAACTTAGTCATTGCAAATATTTTCATTTTTTAAATTTTTTAAACAAAATAATTTTAACCTTTTATTTTATGAAATATGTTAAAATGGAGCTAATTTATTTAGGTTTTCAGTGTCGCTGTGGTGGTCTATTTTGTAGTCTCCATAGATATTCTAATGAACATAATTGCACATTTGATTACAAGCAACTTGGTGCCCAAGAAATTAGAAAAAACAATCCTCTGGTAGTTGGAGAGAAGATACAAAAAATCTGAAACTAGGCGATTTCATAACAGAGAGGGAATTTGACAGAACTAAACTTTAATCTTCCTTTGTGTGGATGGCCCCGAAGTTTTCAATCCTAATCATCATTGAATGGCAGGACTAGTTCTTTTTATCTACATATTTTAAATGCTCATTGAAAAAAAAAATGTGTGGATTAAAATAGAATTTAAAAACACTATTAGTAGCAGCAGATATCTTTGAGACTATATATTTCATTGTATTCTTTACTCAAAGTATTTACATTATCTGTAAACCTAAAAATATATTTTACTTTACATCCATTCTCGTAATTTATCGATTAGTAATTTGCTCTATTTGTGCACTTTGTGCTTAGCAGATTCGGATATTTTTAGGTTTACAGTAGACATCACAATACGTCCATTTTTTAACGCTCGCAGACCGGTAAGCTTTTCGATGGTGTAATTTAAGAAATTACTATGCACACACTAAAAAAAGTAGAAGTCCAATTTAAATTTTCTTGAGAAAAGAAGAAAACATATATACTAAAAACTAATTTTATTAGAACTTATTCAAAATTAACTTTTTAAGAAATTACTGCTAATAAAAGTTTTTAATGTTCTATTGTTTATTATTCCTGTTTGCTATAACTATATTGTTTTTAATTTTAATTATTATATGTAATTTAGGTTAATATAAATTGCATAGCTTTATATTTTTAATAAGTGCATAGTTTATAGAATAAAAATTTTGTTTGCAGACGGACATGCAAATTGGAGTAATAAACACAAATTATGCCATATAAAAACAAAAGAATCAGTTGTTTATTATTTATTAACTACCACTGAAGTTATTTATCTTTTTTAGTCACCTTTTAAGAAAATACAAAATTAGTTGGAAAACATTTTACTTGTATGTATAATATGTAGTCAGTATCTGTTGTTTATATGAAATATTTTATAAAGAAATGCTTTCTTGTGTAGAAAAAATTTCATTGTTTGCATTAATCAAATTTATTTCTCAAGGAATGTTTTATTGCAACTTTAGAAGAAGAAGAAATATTTAAAAAATATTGTAAATATTTTTGGAATTATAAGAAATTGGAAAGTTTAGCTTATATTATTGAAAACTGATTATTATATATTAACTTAAAAAGATTTATGGTGCTATCAATTTAAAGAAATTATATAATTTTCTTTTATTCTTATTATTACTATTAACGTTTGTTCTTTTGAAATTTGAAGGGGACATTTTAATTTAAAATCATGCAATTTTGAAAAAATTGTGCCATTCTTTTATCGAAGATTAATCTTATTCTTAATTATTATTATTAAATTTTAGATGTTAAACATTTTTACTTTAGAGAATGTGGATTTAGAAGAGTCTTGGGTGAAAACTTCAGTGGATAGTGCAGCAAAATATGTATATTTTCTTGTATATTATAATAAAGTTTGAGAACATTAAGAGAGTTTAGCTGTGAATATAAATTGCAAAAAGTGCAATTTTTTTCCCTTTGCTTTAGCAAAATTTCTTGGTATATTTTTGAGAACTTAGGAGAAGACCGATCGTTCGCATTTCTTCGATTGCCAAATATATTTAGAAGTTATATTGATGATAAATAATTACGTAACAAAATCTTATCAACATTAGTACGTTTAACTTTAAGCAATGAAATTTTTTCGAGAATTTCATTTTATTTTCTGCAATATTTTCAGCTGTGACACATGATGTACGATTCATCATCTCTGTATTTGTAATTAACTGCATATGATGTGTAAGAAATAAAAATATAATTTTTGTACTTGTATTTAATTTCGACCAGATAAATTCCCCATATTCACTTTCAGTACAACTTACGATTTTAGTTTTGTTTTTTTAAAGGGAGTATGATAGAGGAAATATTCTTCGTGTTGAAAGCAAGGAAACAATTTATTGGACAGTCTGGAAATGATTTCGTTTATCGACCTATCGAATTGCTGTTGAACGGGGGGATGAAAAACAGTGTGGCTTTAAGAATATAAAATTAAGAAATGTTAGGTTTCTACTCTCATGAGTTTAATGTGTGTGAACTGCTTTCACGCACTAAACGCGGTAGTAGTGATCCATGTAGTGAACACGGTTGAAAAACTATGCAGTTTACAATAGGACAAATCCACTACAGCGGGGAAGGTGGTTGTTGGAGACGTTCGCAAGTCAACGATAATCTAATGAATAAGAATACCCTAATATGAAATGATAACCGACTACTCGATAAAAAAACAGATAAGATAATCCTAGGCTTTCAGGTTCAGGCAAATTTATAAAGTTTTAATACTTTTAAAATTTCGTGTTTAATCTCACTATGAAATTGATAAGAAAAAAATTATTTCTACACGTCATTTTTGAGATAAAAGTACTGTACATTAGCTTGGCTTGATGATAAAGGCAGCGCAACACGAGTGTTATTTGTCGAGGTAGGACTTCGTGAAACTGACCCTTATTTAGGTGTCACACTAGCGGGCTAGACACAAATAATTGTTTAAACTTAATGCTTTGTATGATTAAAATTATCACATTCAGAATATATACTATATTCATATGCAATTCGTAACAAAAACATTTGTATTAAAGTTAGGCTTCGTAGTAACAATTATAATTAATACAGTATTATTGCCAATTACACTGATAGTTAATAATTTACCTTAAAAATAAACTCGTCAAATATTTTCGTTTAAGAAATTCTTAAATTTATTTTCCTCTTATTATTCTGCGTGATATTTTTAATAATATAAACACTAGAAAGTTCTAAATGTAACTCTTAATGTTTTATTTAGATTTCATGAATAATTTAGAAAATGTATAATTTAAAATTAAGCAACAAAGTACGCTGTGCAGAAAATGTCTGATTCACTCTACGACCTTAGTGATGAAATAAGCTTCTACCATTGACAAAAACTCGCCGTTTTGAAACTACTGTACTTTACATTACTTCAATGTTAATTAATGAAACATTGTTTACTTCAAAGCCGAAAAGGAATTATTTTAAAATAACGCAACATCACTGTTTTTGAATGCTTGGTTAAATTTTGAAACACGCCATATTATCTATGTTTATTTTCGGTGCTTGTTCTTAGGTGTTTTCTGGGTTGTTTATTTTTAATGCTTCTGGCCTAGTGTTATTGCGCACTTAAATGTTATTTTTAGGATTTTATACCTAAAACATAGGAATGAAAGGAACCGATTCGCTTTACGGCGTAGCGGTTGTCTGGAATCTAAACAGCCGTATTGGCGACGTATGCCTATATTAGACGCAGTATTATTCATTTAAAAACGATGGAAATTAGAAAAGTCGTATGCCAAAATTCCTACTATTAGTATAACTTCGTTTAACGAGATACACTCGTAAATCGATGTTACACTACATAAATTGAGACGAGCTTTACTTATGCGTCGTTCGGGCATAATTCGAATCGCTTTATAAGTACGCTACTACAAAACACCTACGTATCTATCAACCACTGATTTTATTAATAAATAAAGTAGAAATTGCCGATTGGGTAGAAATAAATAAAGTAGAAATTGCCGCTTACAAAAAAAAGTTAATACGAAATGAATGACATATTGTTTGTCTCGACACTTTTTAAGAGCGAAAGAATCAGTAAAATAAAATTTATTTTTCATTGAAATTTCCGAGCTCTCCTATTATATTAATCTGGTTGCTAGTCCTGTAGGAGAGAGCGCGAGTCCCGTAAGACCTCCAGGTCCCTTCCCTAACCACATTCCCTCCTGCTCCGTCCCAACGAATAACCGGATTCGACTTGCCAATCTTTATTTGGTGAAGAGTTTTCCATATTCCCTTCTCCGTACATGAGTGATATGTCTCTGCAAAGAAGAAAAGTACGTTCCCCCTCAAGGCTGCCTGCCGATCACATTTGTGATTAGAATATTTATTTCCGTAAATCGGGGTTACACTAAGTATCTTTCCTTCTGGAAAATGTATGTTATAAATTACCCCCCACAGACCAAAAAACTTAAATATATATAGCCGGGGTGGCCAAGCTCCTTGATAGTCCGAGCCATTTTTCAAAATTTGAAATTTTTCGCGAGCCGCAATTAAATACGTATTAAAAAGGTATGCAAAAAATTCCAGATTACAAATTATATCCGTAGCAAGAGTGATACAAATTGTTTCCTCCAGAGCACAATGTCAACTATCCATTGCAATGACAGTTTACAAATTCAAATTTGGTCTGGAGTCGGTCAATAACGGACAATTATGTTCGTTCGCGCAGTTTTCGATGAGTTATATTATTCTTAACTTGGACGGAAATGAAATTTGTTACAACGTTGCAGTTAGTATTTCATATTTGTTGTTAGTAATTTAAGACATTTTGAAACACACACAAAACGATAATAATTTTTTAAAATATAATAACACAAAAATGAAAAGGGAACTCGGGTACATTTATCGAGAGCCACAAATAATCCTTCAAAGAGCCGCAGGTTGGCCACCCCCTGATATATAGGCTATAAGCATTGATTTAATGCATTATTTTCATGGTCATTGCAATCAGTTGTTTTCTTCGGATCTAGGAATGTAAAGTAAATAATGTAACAAAAGTTGAGAGATTCGTGAATAAAAATGAGAAAAGTTTTTTTCCCTCCCCTATTATGAGTTTTGTTATATCCGCAATACTAATTTGTTTGAAGACAGGAAGAATATCCAAAACAAATTGCGGCGTATGTCTTAGATGCCAACACACAGAATTCGCCCTGTTTTTTTCCTCTGGTTTGGGGTTCTGAATAAGCGGAGGGTCAAATTGGACACGATTTCAATATTTTACATAACAGCCAGGAAAGTAAAAGAACCGCTTTCGTTCTCTTTTGGCAAATGAGCTCAATTCTGCGACACTAAAGACAAAGCGAAATGTTTTTTTTTATTTCTAATGAAATTAAGGTGATTTATCCGTTACCTCATCAAATTGAGGACGTTAAAAGAATTTCTATTGTATTTGAAATGATAGAGTTGTTCCTAGATGTTGCTTTTTAAAGAGATAGAGCAAATTATTTTTAAATATTTCTGCTTCGAAATGGAAAAAATTAATCCAAATATTTTTGTATATAAATTGAATTACAGTAGAACCTCCATTATCCGGATTTTCGATTATCCGGATTTTTCCTTATCCGGACTACCTTCATCCCCAATTAGTTCGGATAATCGAGGTTTTACTGTAGTTGATATGAATTAGAAACACTGTTTCTCGAGAAATATTTTTAAAAATCATTATTCAATCTAAAGTGATTGAGAAATAAATGAGAATGTATTAAAATAACGCCGCGCTTTTCGAACAATTCGGTTCACGAACAAAATTTTGAACTCAGCTTATTCGGCAAATACAGTATAACTGTTGCCGAACAAGCTACTCGGCTAGAGCCGGCCACAGATGGTCAACTCCTTATCCACAAGTTTCCAGAGAAGGTTCATGTACAGTACTGTACAAAGTAAAATTAAAATAGT